TCCCTTCCAAAATCATGGCAATCAAAGAAGACGGCAATCATCGAGTCTAAGGACCTAACGTCCTTAACTCTTGAAGAGCTAATCGGTTCCCTCCTCACTCATGAAATGATGCTTGAAGATGAGGTGGACCTCGATAAGATTGAAGAGACACCAAAGGAGAAGGAGAAGAAGAAAAACATTGGAGTTGCTCTCAAATCCACAAAAGATGAGAGTGATTTGGATGAAGATGACGAGGAAATGTCATTGTTTGCCAAACGGTTCAGAAAAATGATGAGACCTTACCGAGGGAGAAAAATTCAAACAAAATGAAGGCCTCAAAAATAAATCAAAAGAGAATGACCCGATCATTTGCTATGAATGCAAAAAGCCGGGGCATGTTAAATATGATTGCCCATAATTGAAGAGAAATGGTCAATCAAAGAATAAGCACAAGGCTCATGTGGCTATATGGATCGATGAAGAAGGTTCCGATGAAGAGGAACAAGAAGTAGCAAACTTGTGCTTGATGGCATTCGGGGAAGATTCTAAGGTAAACTCTAATTCATCTGATTTTGATGATTTATCCTATGATGAGTTATTAGAGGAATATAAATGGTTGGTTTCGGATTATGAGAAATTATTTTTAAAATATAAAAATGATGTTTCAAAATTGAAAAATGAAAATAAACTCATATCCAAAACCAACAACGATCTTGAAAGTAAAATCAAAGATTAGCAAATCAAACTAGAAGAGTTTGAAAAGAAAATTTTGGATTTGCAAATTTTACTTTCAAAGGTCAATGATGATCATCAAAAGAAAATTGATGATCTTAAAGCTTCTTTTGATAAAGTTGGAACAAAACGTTTTGAAAATGGAGAAAATTCAAAATCCAACTTTGTTAGAAAAAGTTTTAAAAACTACAATCATAGAGGTTCCCGAAGAACCACTAATAGAAAAATCGTTAGAAGTATATGGGTTCCTAAAGAACTCATTACTACTAAAGATAAGGATATCCTACATAAATGGATACCTAAGGGGACTAGGATTTTGGAAACTAATGAATATGGACCCAAAAGAATTTGGGTACCAAAAATTAGAAATTAATCCATGTTTGTAGGAAAATGAGCATTGCTACAAGGCATAGGAAACAAATTCAAATTCATGGTGCCTTGATAGTGGATGCTCAAGACACATGACCGGAGACAAAAGCTGGTTCATAGAGCTTAACGCCAAAAATGGAGGAGAAGTGACTTTTGGTGATGATTCAAAAGGTCACATTGAAGATATAGGCACTATAGGTAATTCCTCTTCCATACAAATTAAAAATGTTTTATATGTGAATGGATTAAAGCATAATCGCTTGAGTATTAGTCAATTGTGTGATAAGGGATTCAATGTCATATTTGATATTAATGGTTGTAAAGTCATTGACATTGCATCTAATCGGATTATGCTTGTTTGTCATAGAATAGGAAACATATACATGGTGTATTTAGACTCTATTGACATGACTAATTTATCCCTTGTTGCAAAAGATGAGCATGATAGTTGGTTATGGCATAGGAGACTAGGACATACTAGCATGAGTGTTTTGCAACGGTTAATTCAAGGAGACTTAGTAAGAGGGCTGCCTAAATTGAAATTTGACAATGATAAAATCTGTGATGCTTGTGCTAAAGGAAAACAAAAGCGAGTTTCTTTTAAATCCATTAATGATGTATCAACTAGTAGAGTATTACAATTGATCCATATAGATCGTTTTGGGCCAACTAGGACTACTAGCTTGGGTGGAAAACAATATGCATTTATCTTGGTAGATGACTATTCTAGATATACTTGGGTTTTATTTTTAAGTACTAAAGATGAAGCATTAGAAAAATTCATCACGTTTTCAAAAGTAATCCAAAATGAAAAAGGTTACTCTATAACTAGTGTTAGGAGTGATCATGGAACTGAATTTGAAAATCTTGGATTTATTGAGTTTTGTGATTCTAACGGTATTAGCCATAATTTTTCAGCACCTAGAACCCCTCAACAAAATGGAGTTGTTGAGACGAAAAATCGAACTTGAGAAGAAATGGCTAGAACCATGCTTTGTGAAATCAATTTGCCAAAATATTTGTTGAGTTAATCGATTGAAGGAATCGACCAAGTGGGGGTGAATTGGCAATTAAAATTTTGGGGAAGCTTTTGTAGAAAATTGAAAGTAATTGCACAACGATTTAGCTATCCACACTAAGGATTTTCCACAAATTCACTAATTTGTCTTTCTTTTGAGGACAAAGAGTAACCTTACAAACTATCAAGAATTATACCCTAAATTATTTAGAACACTCTCTCCCAAAGAGAACAATACAAATTTTACAAACTTACAAGAAAATGCTCACAAGGCAAGATGTTTGCACAATTCTAGAACAAAGAAAGAACACTCAAGAATAATACAATTGAGCACAATAAGTGTTCTTGAAAGCAAAAATGAATATTGAATGAAATAGGCTTGAAAATGCTCAAACTTGAGGTTTGATGCTTTCTCTTTGATTCTCTCTTGATTCTAGTTGCTTGTTGTTGATCAATGGCTTCTAAGCTTGTTTAAATACACCTTCAATTGATTCTGAAGGTTGAGGATGATTAGTGAAGTCAATAGAGCCGTTTAAGTGTGAAAACAATTAATATTAGTGGTTGGGAGCGTCCCATGCATCGATGCATACCCTAGGTGCATCGAGTGTAAAATTCAAATATTTTGACCGTTGGACTCTTAGTGCATCGGTGCACTAAGAGTGCATCGATGCATAAAATGCATTCGATGTTTTGAAATAGCTTGAGTGCATCGATGCATTGTCTGTGCATCGATGCATCAAATGCATTCGATGTTTTCATAAAACCCTGAGTGCATTGATGCATAGTATGTGCATCGATGCATCAAATGCATTCGATGTTCAATTAATTTATTAGTACATCGATGAAATCGATTGGATTGATGCATCAGTGCATGACCTTGAATAATTGATTTTAAGGCTTGATTTTGGTTCAAAATACTTTGTGAAAATTGTTTCAAAAATATATTAAGTATAAAACACAATTTTACACATTTAGTAAGGTGTAGACACGTCATTTCGTCCATAACTTGTTATTATATTATATAATGTATTTACAGTGTAAATTATATTATATAATATATGTGTTTATATCTATTAATTATTTCATTGCATTTCACAGGTCCAATATTACATGTGGCCCAAAGCCATTACAAGCAAATAAATCCAGCTGACCCATTACACCAAGCAGGAGCCCAACTAGCGCAACCCGATTCAAGACCCAAAATCGGGTTCATGACCTGAACCAGCCAACTAGGGTTCCATAACCCTAGCCTCTTTTCCACTTGCGCAGCTTCACTCCACCCGTCAGATCCAAGGGTAATCCAAGGGCCCAGATCAAAGATGAAACTAGGGTTTTTGACCCTTAGTTGCTTCCAGCCATTTCTCACTCGTCTCAACAGCGCCGTACGACCCAACTGAAGACTCCACGCCTCACGCCTCGCCGATTTTCCCGGCGGTTCCCTCGGCAACAACAAACAACCACATCAATGAACAGATCGAAAAGTCTAGTTTCATTAGGACTCTAAGCAGCTAAAGATAGTATATTTTTTATTATAAATAACACATGTAACACTGGAAATCATGGGAGAAGACACGATTCTACAGTAGACATTTCATTTGAAATACACGCACAAACACACTGTTTTTACACTACGATTACACAAGGGTTATACACAAAAACACAAGGCAAAATACCGAAAGGAAATACGCTTAGGCAGTGGATCAAAGCACCTGTAACATTTTCGAAAAGAAATAGAGGTGAAGATTTTCCGTACCTTCTTCGATTTTACAGCTTGCATGTTGTTTTTGATCTCATTTTCGTTGTTTGGCTCACGTTTTTGACTCGAAAAACGCCAAACGGAGTAAGTCGACTGATGAACGGGGGGTTTGGTCGAGATCTTCCACGTTAGATCTAGTCCTCGAGAATCGTTTTTAGCAAAAACTTTTTTAAAGATGAGGGAAAAAGAATTTTAAAAATAAAAAACGCCGTCGATGACCGGTGGTCGGTGCCGATCAACGGCGGCCGGCAAGGCGGTGCCACGGCCATGTTCTGGAAATCACGTCGATGTTCTTCGAAAATGAAAAACACCCATGAAGCCTTGAGAGAAAACCATAATATTTGCTTTGATCCATTTTGGATCTAATGAAAGAATGAAAGTGTGTTTTAGAAGAATGGGCTTTATACTCAACCCAAATTCCGCTCTGTGACCCGACCCGCGCCGACACGCCACCCGCGTGTTTCTTAAATAAAAAGGGGAAATCCCCATTTGGTCCCTCATTCTCTGGAAGATTCGATTTTCCCCCTGAATTCGATGTTTTCATGTTAATCAACTTTAATTTTGACACCAAATTTGGTTTTTCTTATATTTTAGTCCCATATTATTTTACATTTAATTATATATTTTATTGGTTATTATATTTTTCCTCTTTTTTTCTTTTTATTTTAGTATTCTATACTATTTATCATTTTTATCATTTTTTATATATCTTAAATATTTATATATATTTAATTACTTTTTTTTTTTATTTTTCGATACTTGTTCAATTTCTGGTTTCCAATTTTTACTATTATACTCTCTTTTTTTACTATGTTATGTTTCATTATTCGTTTGTCTTTCTCATTATCTTTATTTGTATATATTTTATTATTATATATTTTTTATTTTTATGGTTATATTTTACATATATTTTATATATCATATTTTTTATTTTTCATTCTCAGTTTCTTTTACATTAATATATATTAACTTTCATGTATAGGTATATTAATTTTATCCATTTTTTATCTGTTTTTTTTATTTTGTTTATTTATCTTGCATTGTCATTATCATTTTATGTTTTTTCCTTATTTTATTTATTTTATTACATTTTTCTACTAACGCTTTTTGTAACATCGTAAGGGTACATTTCTTAATCCGTCAAAGGTAAGTAATTCAGATCAATTTTTACATTTTAATTTAAAATTACAATTTTTTTTTAATTAAAGATAACTTGAAATTATGTAGTACCGAAAGGGCGGTTCAAGGGTGCTAACCCTTCCTTGACTGTAACTGACCCCTGAATCCTACACATCTTTTGGTAAGACGCATATCAGGTAAGAAATAAGGTATCCGATCAACCCATTTGCCTTAAAATAAATGATCGGTGGCGACTCCTAATCCAATTCGTTTAATCCAAGTCGAAGCCCAATTTCGGGGCCCAACCGAAAGACGGTCACGACAGTTTGGCGACTCTGTTGGGGACAGGTAAGTGAGTCATGCTAAGGTAATTTCCAGTTGTCTTTTTAACGAAGAAGGTAAGTTTAAATTTTAAACTAACATTTCGATCCTTTTTACTTACTTTTGATTATATTTTCGAGTAAATAGTTGTACTAACCGTTTTCTAATGATTTCAGCCCCTAAAGATATTTTTCATCTAAGGCTCTAAACCCGAGCTCTAAACCCATTTAAGTGGGGGTGAAAGCGATGCATTCGTGTGAATTTATTCACCACATATGCCTAGCAAGTAGCCTTCGGGATTCATATATCTTATGTCTTCGTGTGAATTTATTCTCCGCATAGACATAAGGGAATGTGTCCTCTCGAGTTTAACTTAGTCCACACAAGCCTGTGATAGGTTTAGGACTAAGGGTCTGGTAAGCCCAAGGGGGCGCCAGCAAGGAGAACTCGGGTACCCTTTTTTAGAACCTAAACCGAGAGACCATGGAGAATTAGAGCCTACCCCAAAACCACATTCTGAAACATAGGATATTTTCACCCTAACCATGTTATTTTTTTGTCTTCTTACACTTTTTCTTTCATCATTTTTTTATTTACTTTTTTTTAATAACTCTTTGGCCTTTGTGTTTTTTTTTATCATTCACATCATTCTAAAGAGGTGTTGATCTACCAAAAATGTGTTTATTAAACATAAATAATCTATATTAATGGATAAAGGGGTTGTAATACAAGAGATGAAAGTACAGAAGACAGTCTATAAGGCGACTATGTGTCACATTCAATCCTGAAGACGTGGCACCCACAATTGAAGAGTATATCACTATGTTACGTTATAAGGACTCAGAATGAATCGGGTCTACATCAAGCATAATGAAAGCCTATCTTGGAAGAACTGACTGGTAGAGGTTGTAGGGGCAAGATGAAGGTCACGAATATTGGGAGTCCCCTCTCAAAGACAACAATGGATAGCTGAAATTGGAGACCATTGTTGACGAATTCAAGAAACAGACAAATGAACTTCACATAGTTCCTATCAATTGAGGGCTCCAATGACGTATTCGTTGGGAACACGCTCAACAAAAGATAAATGCCCGAGATGCAGTCATTCGAGACTTCTTGGGCCAATACAGAAAGCAACTCAACATTTGCACGGTTCATCCAGAGAAGCTAAAACGGTACGAAAAGTTATTTAACCGGTGATAGACGAACACAGAAGACTAGTCAACATGTTAGAAGTTTTCATGATATTTTTGGTCTCTTAAAAGATAAAACACTTTTGTCCCCAATAAGGATTATTCATAATAACAGGCACATTTTTTGGATCAATACCTCGAACATTTCATGCATCATGCATTTATGCATATTCTGCATTAATTTTATTTTCTTTTTCATTTTTCCACATTAACTAACAAGAGATGTCTCATAAAAAAGGGAACAAACAAGCTTTGAAAGCACATTGAAGGTTACCTAAAGCGTGTCTGAAGATCCACAGTGATGAATGAGATACTAGCGCGTATTAGTAAGATCGAGAAAATTCAAGAGCAACTCCTGAAAACTCAATGATAGATGATTGATCAAACAAGAAGATTTCAGGATGAATCCAGAGAATAGATGGCCAAGTTAATGGATATGATAAATGTTGGGATCCATGGAGATAAGCCACTAGTGGATCCCATGAATCCTGGTGCTGAAACTGAAACAATAATGACCAGAGGACCCGTTATTTCAGGTCTGCCCCAAAAACCAAATGAGATTGTAGAAGGTTTCACTGGGCCAACCATGAGAGAGGAGTTTTCTCTTGTGAGAGATAAGCTTTACTCAAAGAAGCTGGTCATAGAATGTGACCAAATGTTGACCAAAAAAACCAAGAAGGATCAACCTCACATGATTAGAGGTTTTATCCCTTTTCAATCACCAAGACATGACACTCAAGTTCTATCTCTGAAGTCATTGCCTACTAGTCTCTCGTCATGGGGACTAGATGAGAAGAAAAACAAAGTGTAGGGTTTTCAGATCCCTCCCTTCCACTTTTCACTTAAAAAATTACGTTCACAAATGCTCACGGCCGGATTGATTACACCGGGATATATCCAACCACAGTGGCCCCCGAATGAGAAATGGACCTATAAGAAGATTCCTTGGGTAAACCAAGATGGAACCCCAGCTTGTTCAGTTAAGGTTCCTGGAAACTTTGAGGATCCTTTAGAACAAGCAATCCAGAAGTGCAAGGTAGAAGACTCGGAAGTTGTCAATTAAACAGAGAATGCCTGCGAAGAACATCCGAACATGAGGGCTTCCGTGAATGTAATTCGAGAATGGCCTGTGGGTTTGAAAATGGATAGGGAAGTTGTAGCCATAAAGGCACCTCAAATTGTTTCAACAGAGGATTCCTACGAAAAACCTAAGGCGCAGGAGGATCGAAAAAGAAATCCAAGTAAAGGAGCTTCCATGAATGTAGTCTGAGATTGGCCTATGGGTTTAAGAATCAAGGGAACAGACGTAGCTTCAACACCTATATCAGATTTCCTAAAAGCAAGGGGGATTCTAGGCAGCTCAGGAGGCTTGATGAATATTACGCCAATCACAGCTGCGATATGTGTTTGGGATCCAACCAAAACTATCACCACCGAGGTCGTTTTGGATCTAAATTTGGGCCCAATCCAGCAACCAGGAAAGGAAATACTGATAAATCACGAAGAAGTGGGATTTTCCCTGGAAAATGACACGGAGGAGGCAGAAATTGATGTGTCTGAGGGTACATCAAAAAGATCCCCAGCCAGTGAGGAGTGGGGAGCCAACGTAGATGAAAGCTCTAATTCAACCAGTGGGGCGCCCAAATGAGGCCTTATTCCATTTCGTGACATCTTGTTTGAAATTGTTTTGAATTTTCTCGTATTTGGAACTTATTTTTAACACTTTTTGGATATTTAAATGAATTTATGTTGAATGTTGAACCAAATTTACAACTTGAAATTCCTTGAATATCACCTGAATTAAAAGCTTTTTAATAATTGAGGTTGTAAATCTTTGACAAATGACGAGATTGAACCCTGCAAAACAAAGACCCCTTGGTCCTAATTTAAAAGATACATCAGACTACATGTTCTTCTCTTACAGGGACCAAACTAGTTTTCTCTTATCATGAAGAGACCATCAAAGGTTTGGTATTCAGGTATGTGTTAGGAGCGAACAGAATGGGGCAACTAGCACATGAGATTGCAAAACTAATTGGGTTATACTTTTGTTTAAGACGTTCAATGATGATCATGATCTTCTCAGATAGAATGGTCAAGTAGGTGAATCTAGTTTAGGTCAGTTGCTTGGAAATTGAACTCTAACGATGAGATTTTCTGACCTTCAAAAACACCTAGACCATAACAGGTTCTTCTTAACAAACTTAAGAAATTGGACCCGTACACCCACATTATAATATTATTTATATACAATAAAGCTTGAGTTGTCCCTCTAAAGCAATTGGTTAAACGCCCCGGCTTTATGGATAATATTCAGCTAGCCTAATAAAGGTGATTATACTTACAATAAAGCTTGAGCTGTCCCTCTAAGGCAATTGGTTAAACGCCCGGTTTTATGGATAAGATTCAACTAACCTGATAAAGGTATTTACATATTGAGTGGTCCCTCTAGAGCAATTGGTAAAACGCCCCAGCTTTATGGATCCAGCTAGCTAGACAATGACAAATTTAAATAAGGTGTTTCGGTAAAAATGAACTAAGGGAGTTAAGGAACACCTGTTATAGTCAACTTAACATGAGCACTCAAGAATCTCATTTTTAGATCGATATTTCTGCACTACCTTTGTTAGAGGAGCTTACAAAACTTGAACAAATGAAAGATTTCAGAGAACTGAAACAGAAGTATTCTGAAAGGTCTAGCCATTGATTATGCTAGTTGTGTCATTTTGTTCGCCTCAGATCAAAATGTCAAATCAATAAAAAGGGTATGTCATGATATTCACGATGACCGAATCGATGAAACAAACCTTAATAACCCACCTCTAAACCAACTTTTCGATCTTGATATTTGTCAAAGGTTTGCAGCTATCAAAGATTAAAAGAGCATTTGATTTTTTGATATCCAATGAACTTCGGTTTTATGATTTGCTTCAATTGTGAAACCTAGAAGGAGGCAATATTTTTCAAAACTCCATTTGACATTTTTCAAAATTTTGAAAATTCGAAGAAAAAAAGCATTTTCAAACAAGATGAGTTCTCTGGAATCATGTCTTAGAAATCGACGAATATCTCTCCGAAGCTCAAGATTGAAACTGGGGTAGGAGAAGCCAAATTTTTGGGGCAAATTTTGATAATTTTCTGAAGTTGAGGTTTACGAGAGTACAATCAAGTGGAAATGAAGACAAACTAAGAGAATGAAGACTGCTCACGCAATTATTCCCTTCACGGATCAACATTTTGAACATCGGATTTAAGCATGACAACCATGGATTGAGATTTCTATCCAAACCCTAAAATAACATATTTTGCATATACATTATAGGCATACATAAGAGCATCACGCCCATAGCATCGTATATGTGCATAATTTTGCAGATTCATGCTAGAGTCAATTTCAACTTCACAGCGAAGGATATTGAGCTCGAAATGAGACAATTTTCTCAAGAGTAGATTTCAACTTCATGACGAAGGATATCCAGCTCGAAGCCAAACTTCACAATAAACGGTTCATCCACGGTTTCAA